CTTTTGCCACACCATCCAATGCACTTCTTTAATCCATTTTATCTTGTAATTTGTATATTAAAAAATTATAGAAATTATATATTAATAATCTATATGTTAAGACGAATCAAACAAGATCACACATGACTATTTTTAGGCTTACACATTGAGAGAATTTGATGAGTCAAAGTGCTTAGATGAACAGTTCCAAAAGTCAAATGTGGACAAAGACAGTGGGACGGAGATAGTATTACTAACATTTTTTTTCCATTTCTGCCTTTTGTTAATACGAGGACCGATAAGGCCGCACAGTAACCAGAATTGCATCTGCCTTTAATATGATACGGTGGTAACATGGGCAGCTCCATGAAAATCCACTGCCCCTGTGATGCACGGTTGGTTTTAGGTTGAGTATTTCCTGCATAAGCAACCTGCAATTTGTGGTTCTGCGGTAGTGAGTGGATGACCCAGACGAGTCGTTGGGACGGGCGCTTTTGATGGAGGTTTCGAGGGACTGTAGTTTGTTGAGAAGGGTTTGTACAGCAGTGGTTAATTGTTGATTGCGAGTAATTAGGTGGTTTAAATGGGTTCCATGTTGGACGAGGGTATCACTCAACTCTTGAGCTTTGTCATGTTGTTGTTGCGGGTTTCCATTGGATTGAGGCTCTGATCCCAAATCAGAGAAGGCAAGAAGGAAGGAAATGAGAAGAAGAGTTGGGATAATTTTCTGAGATACTCTCCAAAAGTAACAATGCAGGAATAAATAGCTACATGAGAACAACCGCCCACTATTCTTAGGCAATGATTATGGAACTTGCCCACTTAACTAAATATGCAGACTTAGATAATAATAACAAGCATCTTATGCACCATGGTGTTTGTGAGCACATACCAAACAGAGCACTTAAAAAATCATGAATCAAAAGATGCAACATTTAGAAAAAAAAGAAGGGGCGAACACGTGGAGTGATTAATTTGTTATGTATTATGGGGTATCATATTATGATTGGATAATTTGTGTAAAATTCTCCGATCCCTACACAACCCCTACACTAGAAGGCTCTTGCTACAGTATTATACACTTCGCCTTAGTATGATAATCTCGTGTCGATTCAAAAAAACACTCATGACTGATTGACATCACTCAAAATGCAATTTCTTTGGTTCATATAAGACTTGTCTTAAGTTTTTTACATGTAAATTTTTGTTCACGTCATTTTCACGGTTGCAGATTCTGCACCAACGCCAATCACCCCAGATTATGGCGGGCCACAGGTGTGCTATGCTGATGGAGTCTTTTACTCCCGCTTTAATCGTTTTGTGACAGTAAGAGAAGGTTGTTATTCTTCAGATTTCAGAACATGATGGCGTACGAAATAGGATTCTACATTATTCATTTCATTGAATCATTTGATGATGACGAGTTCATTTCTCTCTTTTAACCTGTCCCAGATTCACGTGAAAGCAGCACAAATTCACTTACAACAATTGTATCAATTGATCTAAGTAATGACACTATTCAAGGTGTGCTTTTTTCTTTAGCCATTTGTAATTGATAGTCTTGTTTTGTGTTATATTCTCGTATTTGCTTGCTTGGAGCTTGGGGATCCCCTCTTCCTCAACCCACCCACTACACACATAGGAGTGAAGACTGATTAACTTCATCTTCTTTATCATTTGATTTGACCTTTGTAGAGCCAAAAGAATTAGTTGGTGGGAATGACTTTTATGCTTTTCCTCGTATGGACCCCGGTGGAGGACGTATGGCATGGATTGAATGGAGTCATCCTAACATTCCATGGGATAAATCAGAGCTTTGGGTCGGCTATATATCTGATAATGGGTATTTAATGTAGATAGATTGAGTAGATTTCACTTCTTTGTTTTATCTTTGTTGTAATTGTTGTTGTTCATTTGTTGTTTTTATGTATACCCTACATCTTCAAATGTTCACCGAGTTGCTGCTCAATTAATATTTGCTATTTTCTAAATTTGTTTCTTTAGAGATGTTTGTAAACGAATTTGTGTAGCTGGAGGTGATATCAATATCATTGAGTCCCCAACTGAACCCAAGTGGTCTCCCCAAGGTAATGTATATTGCATGATCTGATAACTTCATTTGGAAATTAATAAACACTTTAATTTTTGTTTCAATTTTCTTCTCTCATTTCACACTTCTTTTGCAACTTGTTTTGTTTGGTTCAAGAAATTTGGAAGGAAAAGAAAAGAAAATGGTTTTCTCTCATTTTCCTCCTCAAAATGGGAGGAATGTGGTTTTCCCTCCTCTTAGTACATTTTGCCTTCTGATTTTCTTTTCCTTTCACTTTTCTTTTCTTTTCCTTTCTAACCAAGCATGAAAAATTGTTTTCCCTCTCATTTTCTTTTCTTTTCCCTTTCAAATTCCTTGAAACAAACGTAGTGTTAAAGACCATGCGGATTGCTACCTCGAACTGCCATATATGTACTAACTCTTCCTTAGCACATTTGCAAGTGCAGGAGAGCTGTACTTTGTGACTGACAGGAAAAATGGGTTTTGGAATCTCTACAAATGGGTAGGTTTGTCAGCTTAGAAGCTTGTTTTATGTTTCACATGATTACTTCTACTAGTTTGAGTATTTCCACGTTTTCTTCTTCTTCTTATGTTTTTAGTTTGTATTTATTCATCCAAGTACTTTGTGGAACAGGCAGAATCTACTAATGAAGTGATACCGATGTACACAAAAGATGCAGAATTTACCAGACCTTTATGGAACTTTGGTGTCCAATCCTATGAAATTCTTCAGAACCATGACCAGGAAACCGTTATAGCATGCAGTTACAGGTAACGGCGGTAACACCATGATATCTTGCTTTCTTATCAAATTTGTATTTTATCATGTTAGTTAACATACTAAAAGCCTGTTCTTTTGAGTTGGAAAACTTAATTTCCAACATTTTCCAACTCTAGTTTTTTCCACCTCCTTCAAATTTCTCCCAACTCCTTCAAGTTTTTTCCAACTCCTCCCACTTTCTTCCAACTTCTTCCAGTTTTTTCAATCTCCTTCTAGTTTCTTCCAACAATGACTTAAAAAATTTATTCAAGTGTTTTTTCATATTATTATCATTACATTTATTGTTATTATTATTAATGTCATCATCATCATCACAATTTTAATTAGAATAAAATAAAAAAGCCGAAATAATATCACAATGTTTATAAAAAGTATTTTTTTCCTAAGAACAAATGTTAGTTACCATTATAGAGTCAATATAAAATATTAAAATGTTAAACGAATTAATTTATTAGATATTTTATTTGTAATTTAGTATTATTCCATAATTATGTTTCAATTATTTGTTTAATTAAAACTAATAAAAAATATTGCTCCTTTTCCCGTTTTTTTGGGTGCATGGTTTAGTAACATGCAGATTAAGAAATAAAAATTTGCATTAGTGATATTGATTTAAAAAGTTAAAGAAAACATAATAATGAGCATGAGTCACAAAAAAATTACTTTACATGTGGTTTGAAAAATAGTTTTACATATGAAAAAATAAAAAGAGATAATTATAATAAATGAATTATAATTTATTTTAATAAAAATATAAAGTTACAAAAATATACTCTGCAATACTCATTTCAACACTTTTTCAATTTTTCCTACATTTTTTATTTTTTCTAGCAATTTCCAACTCATTCTAGTTTCTTCCAATTCTTTCTAGTTTCTCCCAGCTTCTTTTAGTTTGTTCCAACTCCTTCCAATTATTCCCAGCTCTGTCCATTTTCTTCTTACTCCTTCCAATTATTCCAACATCCAATTCTGAGAGCTAACCAAAAAAAGAGGTCCTAGTTGTGTCTTGGTGCTATAATGAATCTTCTAAAAACTGTTCTCACACTCATTTCTCACTTTTGGCATTTCTTTTGAAAAACTACATGGATAAAAAATGTGCAGACAGAAGGGCAGGTCACATCTTGGAATTCTTGATGTTATCCAGGGAAGATTGACACTTCTTGGGATTCCTTTCACAGATATTAATAATGTTGTAAGTTTTGTTTTTCGAATTCACATTAATCTTCAGGACAATTTGGGTTTGGAATGCGTCATAAGTGTTTTCTATGTGCAGGTCTCTGGGGTTAATTGCCTATACGTTGAGGGAGTCTCTTCCGTTCATCCATTATCAATAGCTAAGGTGATAACATTTCCAGTTGAATTTAACTAAAGAAAAAGTGAACATTTTTGAACGAGTAATTTGGTAAATATTGTAGGACCTAACAAATATGGTCCTATTTATGTATGTTTTCAGGTGACTTTAGATCATCAAATGACAAAAGTAATCGAGTTTGAGATCATGTGGTCTTCTTCGTCTATGAGCTTGATGTACGAATCATACATCAGCATGCCAGAACTATTAGAGTTTCCAACTGCTGTCCCTGGACAAAATGCATATGCATACTTTTATCCACCAACCAATCCAGATTATCAAGCTGGTCAGGATGAAAAACCCCCATTATTGCTGAAAAGCCATGGTATCTCTCTGTCTTCTTATTAATATTAAGGGCTGGCATTAAAATTATTCTTTGTTCGTATAAAATTTTTCTTCTTTACCATTACTCTGTTTCTTTTCTCTAGTTAAGTAGTCATTCATACTGTATAACTTGGTGATATAATGCAGGAGGTCCTACCGATGAGTCAAGGGGAAGCTTGAATCTCAGTATCCAATATTGGACCAGTCGTGGCTGGGCATTTGTGGATGTTAACTATGGTGGAAGCACAGGTATGCATGACATTTCATAGTATCCATTCCACTTATGGTTGCCTATATGATTAGTCCTCTGATATCTTCTTTTTGGTGTGGATTGCTTTGCCAAGGCTATGGCAGAGAGTTCCGGGAGAGGCTTTTGGGGAACTGGGGAGTTGTTGACGTTAACGATTGTTGCAGCTGCGCAAAGTTTTTGGTACCCATGTTATGTGCAATATGAATAATCTCACAAAGTTTCCCTACGGATATCAGTCTCAATAAATCATTCACACACACGCACACACACACATATATAGGTTGAGAGTGGAAGGGTTGATGGAGAACGGTTATGTATCACGGGAAGCTCAGCTGGAGGGTATACGACATTAGCAGCACTTGCATTCAGAGATGTGTTCAAAGCCGGTTGTTCCCTATATGGCATCGGTGACCTGAAACTGCTGATAGCCGATATGCCTAAATTTGAATCTCACTACATTGACAACCTTGTTGGTGATGAAACTGCATACTTTGAGAGATCTCCCATCAATTTTGTGGACAAGTTCTCTTGCCCCATTATTTTGTTCCAAGGATTGGAGGACCGGGTACTCCCCTAATCTTTTTTTTTTTATATAAAATAAATAGAACAATATCTTACTTCACACTTTGAGGGTATAGCTGGAGTTGGGTGTTGCAGGTGGTGCCGCCGGAGCAAGCACGGAAAATATACGAGGTGGTGAAGGGGAAAGGGCTACCGGTTGCTGTGGTGGAGTATGAAGGAGAGCAACACGGCTTTCGCAAGGCTGAGAATATAAAGTTCACACTCGAGCAGCAGATGCTCTTCTTTGCACGTCTGGTCGGACGTTTTGAAGTGGCTGATCCAATCACTCCCATCTTCATCCATAATTTGGACTGATCTCATCTATCTCACAGCAAAGATCTTCTACACTGCATACATTTTTCTCTTTTATAGTACTCCACTGTATATGAATCTTATTGTCTTTAGTACTCAATTTCTTTTTTTTTTTGGTTTGACTTGACATGGTTCGAATAAAAGGAGATGTGTGTGATTCTGGTTTGTGTAGAAGAAAGAGAAATGATTACAATCACATGAAATAAATAAACTTGAAATCAATTTCTGTTTAGTATTAAAATTACTAAAATAAAGTTTTTTTTTTGATGGGTGATTATAATACGTGTCTAAATCTGGTGTCTACATCAGGATTGATTTTGTTGAATACTCCACAAATTCCTCATAGTCGCCGACGATACTAGACAAATCTTCCTTTGTTCAAAATTGACCCTCGCATTCAATAATGATAAAAGAAATTCCAAACCTTTTAATTTTCCGCCTAAAATTCTTAAAAACTAAATCCTTTATTCTTTTCTAAATACATTAAAACTAAAATGTATATTGTCATAATGTATGTCCATATTCACATTTACTCTCTAATTCTTAATGCGTGTAGAAAATTATTTTCGTTCTAGAATTTGATGCGACTCACACTGACATTTGTGTAAAATTTTATAATCCCATTGATATTTTGTGTCAATATAAGTCATTAAAATGTACTCCCTCCGTCCTAAAATTAACTTCCTATTTGATTTTTCACGGTCTTCAATGCGGTACTTTGACCATTAATATCTCCATTTTTATATATATATATTATCAAATTAAATAATATAATTCAAAACTATGTTTCAAAATGAATCTATTGATACTAAATTTATATGAAAATTCAATATATTTTTTCATAAGTCAAAGTTTAAAAACTTTGACTGCAAAAGTCAAAATGAGAAATTAATTTTAAGACGGAGGGAGTAAGTATAAATTTTTGGAGTACATTTTTGAGGTACAACTAACATGGTTGAATTTCTTTTACACAACTTTCACAAGTTTATTTTAGTGCTTTTTATTTACCCATATCAAACATTTCATTAAAGAATGATACAAGATTCAAGATTCAATTACAAAACATCACATAAACATGACATCCGAAGCACACACAAAAATTTAAAAGTAAAATAACGTTGTCAACCGTTTAAACAACAAATTAATTAAACAATGAAAAAAAACAGGTACCATAAAAAGTATACTCCATTGTAATTAACATTATAAATAAATATTTTAGACTATACTTATTTGGAAATATAGTTTTAAAGTATATTAAATTTTAGTACTATTTAGTGCAAACATTTCTAATGTAAAAGTATGAAATTAATTTTAAAAAGAAAGGGGTATATGTGCAATTCTTTATTTTTATTGTTTGCGCGAAATTCCGAAGCCGTTGGCCAGGGCATGGACGGCGGGATTGACGGCGAGCCTTCCCAAAATGCCCTCTTTGTACGGCAAGAAAGTCCTCTTCTTCATATCCTCCGAAACTGCCCTGTTCATGGTGTAATGCATCTCGTGAGCCGACACTCCGCCGCTCCTCCTCCGCCTCGACCCTTCCCTGTTCTCTCCCCGGAAACTGGCTCCGACGGCGGCCGTGTATTTCTTCAGCGGGTCTTTCTCCGACGCCCTGCCTTCCGACGCGCTCCGGAACAGGAACAAGTCTCTCAGTCTCCACTTCTTGACCATCGCCCCTTTCGAAGAAGATGAGGAGGACCGAGTCACGGACGGCGGCGGCGGATTCAGCGGCTTAATCATTCCGCGCTCGAAAAGCTCCTCCGCCGCGGATACAGAGCTTGCCGCCCTTTCACGGACGACCTCGACGTCAAACGAGAAATCGTCCGACTTGGGCGCGCCGGATACAGAGTTGGACGTTTCGGGGACGGAATATTTCCCGGCGGCGTCGACAGGTCCTCCGTCATCACGGAGCCGGAAGTCGTGGAAATCGCGGTAGAAGCCAGAAAGGTGAGAGGGGCTGGCGGGAGCGCTGAGATAGTAACCGCCGCCGACGGGCTTGGGTGTGGAAGGGGCGGTGTTGCACGGAGAAGCTCTTGCGCTGTTGAAATCGAAATCCATGTCGGCATGGACGGGCACGATCACCTTCATGGTTTCCCTGCAACGGTTTCTGGATGGCCAGAAACAGGGGAGCTGGGCAGGGAATGGGGATGATGGCTCAGGGGAACCTACAAATACGGAGTCGTTTTATTTATTTACGGAGTATTTATTTATTTCTGAAACTCAGCGGAGAAGGCCGCCTTTTATTACTCCTTACTTTTTTGACTTTTTTTTTAAATAGAAAACGTAACTTTGACAAAATAAATAAATAAATAAATAGAATTAAGCTACTAGTATCCACAAAGTTGTACTTCAAATTGTACATTACAGGTATACATTTTTATTTTGTGGTACTGTGAGGATAGGATAATCACTCATATATGCACAAAATGCTAGTACAAATTTTTTTGATCACGAAAGTATATTTTGTCAGTATAACTCATCGAAATATTAGTGCATAACTTTGGTCTACACTTTGGGCCGGGGTACATTTTCATGGAGTACCTCTAGCATGGTTGAAAAAATAATAATGCTACTTGAACGTCACTTGATGTGTACCAAATTTTACGCGAAGAAGTTGCACTCGCATTTTTTGTCAATTTGAGCTATCAGAGTGTTGGTGAAATATTTTGGTGTACTTTTAGCATGATTAAAAATAAGGTGAAAGAATATAAATGAGCTTATTGTTAATGTTTTGAAGATTGGACGAGACGTCAAATCGGAGATGCATGTTGAACAAAGGTTATCCAACTAGACCGCGGTCAGCATATCAATAATTATTCCTACCAGTATTATGTAACATTAACCTTTATTGGGTGATTTAGGTATTGTGTGAAATTTCTTTTGATAATTTTTTTTGGTGATGTTTTATACTTTGATTATAATATGTGGAAATAAACATTGTATTTTGTTTTTTATAAATCTAATATTTAAAATTTCTTTTACTCCGTATAATATACATTATATATATATATATGTAGATTTTGGTTCTGGTAAGAATGCAATCTTAGGAGAGAAATGAGAATGAATCTGGTGCTTTAGATTGTGAGATCTAAGGGTCAAGATTTCATCAAAATTAGATGCACCAAAATGGTGCAAAAATGCATCACGTCGAAATGCACCATAAACCTTTGAAAATGCACTATCTCAAAATCTGAGCGCAGGATGCAATCTGAGCCACACGATGCATCAGATCCGACGGCTAGATTTTATTCTTATTTCTCTCCACAAGGTGCATTCTCACGGGAACCGGCCCCTATATATATATATATATATATATATATATATATATATATATATATATATATATATATATATATATAAATGATCAAAATATTAATTTGGAAAAAACCTCACTCTCCACCCGTCTAGCAAGGGTGTGAGCAATAACATTACACGAACGAGGAACTAACAAAAGCGATAGAAATAAAAATGAAATCCGACATGAGAGTCTTGATCTCCTCTACCAAAGAGTCAAATAAATTATGAATGATTAAATGGTCTTGTAGCTATTATAAATAACTGGTTTAATGAAATCAAACAATTCAGTTCTAAAATTTAAAGAACTTTTAAAATAATTTTAAAATATACGAGTATAATATATTAAAATTTTGCCTTATTTTAGTATAAATTAAAAATAAAATCTACTCCGTATTAATCGTCATGATCCAAAACAAAACAAAAGAAAATTTTCTCAAACGGAGAAGATATGAAATAAATAAATAAAACGAAAATTCTATTTTAAGACAGAGAAATTATGGGCCAGAGTAATAAATAGGGGGGGTGTAGGTAGCCAGGTAGGAGCTGAGCATGGGGTGGGGGGGATTGCGAACCCATCATCATTCGAGGCATTATGGGACGGACCACCAACAGTGCTGCCTTGCTGTCATTTACGGACTACTTTTGTTAATCTCATAAATTAAGTTCTTGACATTGGCTACATATAGATCAAACAATGTCATTGTATTTTTTCTCGTATCATATCTATAGTAAGATTATTCGTTGAAAAATCTTCTCTAGCCACCACATAGCTGGTCTAATCGAAGTATGATAATATTTTCTCTTCAATTTCTTATACGGAATAAAAAGATTTGAAAATAGCTTCAGTCAAACATTGTAAACCGAAACAGACAATTTAAATTGGAACGGAATGAATTATATTTTCTCTATTGTCAAGAGGTGTTGTAAAATTGGATAATATGGTTGGTTTTTAACAACTCTTTTAGTAAATGACACTAGATCCATCTAATACCAATATTAGTGAATCTTTATTCATCTTCTTTGAGACCACTGTCTACACTGGTTATGGGAGAAAGCTCGAAGTAGAGTACATATTTTTTCTAGTTACGATTTTGGAGCGACAAGGAGAAAAAAACTACAACACCATTCTTCTTTTTTTTCATAAATACTTTTTCTATCAAATACATTTTCACTTTTTAGCATTTCTTACATAGCGTGACTTAATAAATTTAAAGGCAAAAAGATCAGAAAGAGTCCGTTTGGTACACGAAATTGACGAAATTGGAATTGAATTGGAAGTTGGAATTCTATAAAATTGATTTGGGTGGGATTGAGTTCTCTAATTCCAGTTCATTTTTTGGCGCTACCACTTTCAAATCCACATATTTTTGTGCTACCAAACACTAGAATTGAATTTTTGTCCCTAATTCAAATTCCATAATTTGGATTCCGTATACCAAACCAAGCAGCAGAAGTTTAAATCCCAAATCTCCTTTTTAAGTCCAAATAGAGTGATAAACCACTATAAGATGGGAGTGTGTGCCACCAACAGCTTTCAATTCAAAGCACACTTAGCTTTAATTTGCTCATCCTTTTCTTCTTTAACTGTATGTGTAGGCCAATCTTTTACTTTACACAGTTCACAGAAAGCAACATAACACATCACCATCTGTTGAAAAACTTTGAAGACTTTTATTCATTCATCCAATGATTGAATTCACCCCAACAACAAAAAAATCTTATTCCTTGTTTGGAAGAAATGAAAAATTGTTTCAAACTCTCTATGAGGAGAAGAATGTACACTTTCAAACTCTATACCATCATCTATACTGCTCTCTCTCTCTCTCTCTCTCTCTCTCTCTCTCTCTCTCTGTATTTATACCTGTTACTCCAAAACCACTCAACTATGGAGGTACATAATTGACTCAGTCAACTAAATAAAAAACAAAAAACTAGATGCATAAGAGATACCTGAAACTAAATTCATATGGTATGATTTGGAGGTGTGAGAGTGGCACATTCTCAAGGCAGCTAATTGCTTCTTTTCCAAGTTCAGCTGGCAATTGGAGGCACACCCAGTCAACCAATGACTCCATGTCCTTTGCAAAATCAAGAAGATACCAATCCAACACCTTTGGTATTCCCACCACCTTCTTCCCCCTCGAAATCCCCACCGCCGCCTCCAAGTACTCTCTCTTTGCTACTTCTAGCTCCCCTTCTATTCCCGGCGCCGTATATACCCTCACCTTGTAAATCCCAAAAAAAACCAACTCAGCCAAAAGTTCAAACTTCTGGGCTTAAGCCCAAGAAAGGTTTTGTAATGTGACAGGTTATGTGTGGGTGTAAATCTACTTACAGCAGGAGATGACCAACTCCCACAAGAGAGGGCAAAGGTGACGAGCGGTTCAGAAAACTCCAACCCGAACATACTCCGTGCTGCCATCTCATTGTTTTTTACACCCTTCTCTAAGGTCTATATGGACAAGAAATAGGCACATTATAATGTATGCGTGCGTTTCTTGATGAAGTTCAAAATGAGTAAGGACTTACAAATTTTGAGTGATAAGGCAGTCTCAGGATGAAATGTTCAATGGTTATAGCACTAAGCAAGTGTCCCCCGACATTAATAGTTGCCTTCCAAATAAGAATAAAAATCCATCAATATAACGGATAAATATGCGAATCGGATAAATATAATTATCATAATGCTTCGATCAGCAATAGAGATGAGTGATATACCTTTTGCATCAAGGCCACGACCATTTCAGGACCGTCGGGTATTCCATTTTCAAGAAAAGCCTGAAGCAACAAGCACATTATTTGTGTCACTGCAACCATATACTTTTTTTTTCAACTTTTGAAATCATATTGACATGAACTGACACTCACATTCATCATGCATGAATTATAGATGTTTATCCAAAAGGCAAGCTTCTCCTGGTGTGTGAGGCTCTTAAGTTGTACCGACTCCAGCTTCTCAAGCAAAAGTCTGCAAAATCACATACAAATAAGGATCATGCTACAGTCACACCACACATGACACTAAGGTTCACACTACCAGTGTTTCACACACTATGATTTCTCACCGCCAGTCATACAATGATTGTCTGTGTGTGATTGTCTCAAGTAGTGTCAACCTTGGTGTCAAGTTAAATGTTATCTACAAATAATTTCATTCAAAAGTCTGATGATTCGGATCCTTCTAGAGTGACTCACTTCAATCGGCGAACTAGGAACACGGATACAGTTGACCGGTTGGGATTGATAGACGGAGCTTCAACAGGAAATAAATGCTTATACGCGCCAATGTCTCGCGTGTCATAGGTCAAACCGATAGCATATGGGTCTGTAAACTTTGTGGTCATTGAACTGTCTGCAAATGTTGTCATGGTTGAAAGTGAAGATATTGTTTCCATAGAAGTCCTTGTCTTTTTGGAGCTCATTCTGAAGTAGATGTTCAACAAGCATTTCACAATGTTCTCGGATATTTTGCTTGGACTGTCATCTCCTGAAGAAGTCTTCTCTTCTGCACTACTACGATCCACCATTGTTTTGCCCTCTTGAGGCAACTTCTGAGGATCTGACCGCTTCTCTGTGGCTCTTTTCCCAACAGATGGAAGTCTCTTCAATGATGGCCTGGCAGTTTGAGTTTTTACCTTTGGTGATTTCTGAGTTTGCTTTGTAGAATTGTACGGCTGATCTTCTTTCGCCGCACAATCATCTAAAACTCATCAAATGAAGATGAATTAGAACTTTGGTACTCTTCCTCAAATCCTAAATTGAAATTTATTATAAAAAAAAGACGCGTATAACTCAATCCCAAATGAGCTTTCAGGTGAAACACTATACGATAAATTTTAATTTGCATATTCAAATCAACAAACCCAGTAGAGAGATTGTTTCCAAGAGACGCCCGGCTCACTTACAGGAGTATGAACAAAGAAAATGCTTAGTATATTTACCAATTTGAGGGGAGAGCTTTGTTTGCTTAGATTTGGGTGTTTTGTACAAGTCACATTGCTCGGACGAACTCTCCATGTTTCTCTTGGAGGATGAAATATAAACAGCTTCTTTGTACAGCCCTTGCCTGAACTGAACAACTTGCTCTTCCAGGCGCACGACTTCCTCTTCCAAAACAGCCACCTCTGCTAAAAGCTCCAATGTCTAACGGATTTTGTTTTTATTTCAAAATCAAAGTTTACTTTAGATTAGAACAATGCACATATTCAACAACCCCAAAAGATTCATTCATTTCTAACACAACTGAATCATATGATCAAGCTGAGAGGAGGATAAATTAAATACTAACAGATGAAGGAAGATAAGGAGGCAGACGAGGTAGAGCTCCCAGAGGTCTGGTAAAAGCTCTCTCAAGAGCTCTGTGAACATTTTCTTCATGCCTTAGTTTCTTCTTTAGCTCATCTACCTACAACGGTTTTGTCCCAATATATATAGAGAGAGCATTAGACAGATACTGAAACAGTAAACAGAGAACATAAAAGATTCAAAACACAAAAGAATTGCATACGTCTTGAAGCAATGCAATTTTTCGCTCTCTGGTAGCTTTTCTTCGACTCGTAGGCATTCTCTTGTTAGTACTTTGCACTTCCAATTTTTCCTTCAAGAAAGGAAACATAAGAGATGAAAATGATGGGGAAAAGAGAAGGCAGCCACTGATTATTATACTAACCATTCTGCAACACAAGGAACTGCATTAAAAACTAACACTTAAACTGAACAAGTCAAAAAGCTTCAATCTTTATTCTTCCTTTTTCTTTTCAATCTCTATTTCTAAAAAGAAGAAGAAGAATCTCAAGTTTCTTGTTACTTTGGCAATTGAATTCCACATCCCATATGTTCAAAGACTCCAACTTTATCCAATTTATAAGAAAAGAATCAACCTTTGGATCCAGCAAACTGAATTAACAAAAACCCAGACCACAAATTACACTCCAATCCCCAAATGAGTGATTTAAAATAGTTGAAAGCTTCCGATTAAATCATACAAAAAAGCAAAAAATTAAACCTTTTCAAGCTTCTTCATAGGAGCCTTCATAGGTTGCAGATTGGTCCTGCCTTTAGTATTCATCTTTCTTCAATCCCTAGAGAGAGAAGAAACCAACGAGCCCCTGACAGACCATCAAAACCCCAAATTGAATCAACCGACAGAATCAAGAACTGTCAGAAATTGTTCAATTCGAATGAATAGATGTGAATAATGAAAGCGGGAAAACCAGAGCTGAATCCGAAGAAAGACAAAACACCTGCAAGAGGAGCTTCTCAGCTCATCATCTTCTGCTGCTCTGCATTTCTATGTATCATTACAATGGCCCATCCAGTCTTTGTTTTATTAAGAAGAAACATTTAACCATTGTCAATGGCAACAGCCGTATATATACGAAATCATGCTGAAGATTAGCTTCTTTTTTTTTTTGCTATAAATAAAAAAGGGAAAAAGAAGCATCGTGAAGATTAATTGGTCAGTAAAACTTTTCTTTGCTTGCTCTTAGTGAGCTGTAGGAAGATTGTTACGGAGTAAATTTCAAAGTATCTACTGCAGAGTAGGGAGCATATCATCTACTCCGTTTACTTTGCACTTTGACTCATCAAATACTCTGGTACCTTTTCTTCGACTCGTAGGCATTCTCTTGTTAGTAACACAGGAAAATTTTTATACTCCGTATTTTCAAACTTTTTTTAATCTTCGTAGCAAATCAAAATGAAAAAGAAATTTTTGGATGAGAACATACTTTCTAAGTTGTGCTTGTGGGTTAAAGGACGATATCAAATCTGAATCTTCTCACATTTTTTATGATTTTACTATTGGAACTTTTGTAAGTGAAACAATAGCATGATGTTAGTGTCGAGTGTGTTGCGCATACATTTTGTACCCGCGTAAAGTCTTGGGGTACATAATGAAGTACAAATTTGGGGTACAAGTAGAAATTCCCTTTGATTTTTGTGATCATTTTTCATCTCCTTTGAAGGCTAGTAATTCATACGAAGTACTCTGTACATAATAATGTTTTAGGAGTATAAAAAGGATGGAAAAATGATAAACTTTATCTCTAAAGCTCCTAAGAACCGACCATATTGAGTGAGTGAACAAAAATTTGAAAGGTAAACTTTTTATACTAGCCGGCTCACAGCAAAGCGATCCCAGCCACCACAGGAAACCGCAACCTCCGGCCTTGTCTTAGGGATTAGTATACCCCGTTTGCCCCTACTCGTTTGGTCATTCCCCTTCCTACAAAGGCTGAGACTTTTTTAGAGCGTCGGTACTAGTGATACTTATGAAAATAGAATTTTGCACAGCGATTAGTAAATAAATTTAAAATTTTATTTTTTATTATAAACTAATTTATAAATAAAAGCATTTTAAAGATCACAGTATTTTGCATGTCGCTTGAATATAGAATATTTTAATTTTATGTGATAGCTCCTTCTTGGATTAAGGTATTTGTATCCCCAAATTTGTATTCCAAAATTATACTTCACAGGTGTGCACCGTCATTTTTGTGTCAGTGTGATTTTAAGGTGATAATTCATACATGCAAAAAAATGTTAGTACACATTTCTTGTTATATATACTCCTTCCGTCCCCCATTTTTTGTCCACTTTTATTTTTACACATCATCCAATGCACTTCTTTAATCTATTTTATCTTGTAATTTGTATATTAAAAAATTATAGAAATTATATATTAATAATCTATATGTTAAGACAAATCAAACAAGATCACACATGACTATATTTAGACTTACACATTGAGAGAATTTGATGAGTCAAAGTGCTTAGATTAATAGTTCCAAAAGTCAAAAGTGGACAAAAACTGGGGGACGGAGGAAGTATAAGTGTATGGTTTTTTCTTTGATGTAAATGATCCCTTTGGAAAAGAAAGAGAACAATGTTATGTTAGCGTGGTGATAAAGCAAAATGAGATGAGAATGCATCGTGCGCACTTTAGTAGTGCGCGCAGTAATCATTCATTAGCGTGCGCCTTGACACCCACACCACATGATTGTAGACCGGCACAAACCCGTTCGGCCCCCTTAAATAACAGCAAGTATGCAAAAATATGAACTCATGCGGGTTACGCCGACCCGCTAGTTATATAAATCGGCTTGGGTTTAGGTTTGGCTCGCACGGTGGGTGGGTTGAAGAATATGGATTCATTTAACTTATTCAAACTCTAAGGGGGTGTATTCAATCTAAATTTTAAAAGATTCTGATAGATTGTTTAAAATCCATGGATTCTATAAACTTAATGGATTATTTTAAGTTTACGTAGAGTTAAATAGATTTTAATGTATTTTATCAATAGGATTTTATAGGATTATGGAAAATTGTTTATAATCCATGAATTATGTTTTCCTTTTTTGCTTTTTTTTCTTTTTTCTTTTTTCTTTTTTCTTTTTTCTTTTCTTCCTTCTTTCCTCCCCAGTAACCCTAGCTATCTCTTCTTCGGTCTCCTTTCTTTCCTACCGAGCCGCCGCCACCATCGCTTCCTCAACTGCTCTCTCGTAGTTGGCCGGCATCGCCGCCACGAATCTCATGGCAGTCTCCCGTCCTGGCAGCAACGCCGCCCCTGCCCGCCTTGATGTTGCGTTCGCCGCCGGCGTCCGGCTTGAACAGAGATGTGTTGGATGGGGGAGTGCTGAAGAACGAGAAACCGATGCCAGGGAAGTCGCCGGCGAGCATTTCGACCAAGTTGAGCAAAGGCCTGATGGCGTGGTACCATGATGATTTCTCCATTTTATTGCCCTTCTAACAATTTTTTGTTCTTCTTTCTATTGGTTGAAGGTTGAAGAAGAGTAGAAGACACGATTTCTTCGAAGGTTGAAGAAGACACATATTTTGCATGGAGTTGCAAAATCTCTACCTTTTTTTGTAAGATTTTGGACTTTGATTTCAATTTATACCCAAAGCCAAAAATCCATCAAAATCCATATTTTATACGGAGTAAGAATCTTTTAAAAGCAATTGATTTTTTAATACCATTAGATTTAGAAGAATATTTTAAAATCTGAATTGAATACACGCAGATTTTAAATGATTTTTTAAAATCTGGATTGAATATCTACAGACTTTTGAAATCCAAAAAAATCCTACAAAGTCCAGATTGAATACACCCCCCTAATACTCCCTCCGTCCCCAATTTGATTACAAATTGCGGGTTACGGAGTAAAATTTCCTACTTTTTGAAAAAATTTACTCCCTCCGTCCTATAATGATCTTCCCAGAGCATTATTCCAACTTCACGAGAATTTATATTTATTTGTGTTTTTTCATGGCCTATATGATAAAATAAAATATTCTTGTCACCACTTGTTTTGTTGAACTTTTGGTGTAGTTTTTAAATATGTATGTTTTATTTTTTATTTCTATACCAATATTTAAATAAAATAGATTGAAAAAACTTGGGATTTTTCTTCGTTTTGCGAACCGGGAAGATCATTATAGGACGGAGGGAGTATTTACAAATTGGTGTATCAATAAGATATAAAAATTACATATTAAAAAACCACGTCAAAAGTTCTACAAAAAAAGAGGTAACAAGAATATTCTATTTTATCA